GAAGTGCCTTACAGCTTGGCGATGGCATTGCTTAACCTGCAGTTGGGGCCGAGTTGTCAACGGGACGCTTCAAAAGTCTTCAACCGATGGAGATTTTGTGTGTGTGTGTGGGGAGGCGATCGCAGCAAGTTGCCGTGCCTTGTATGGGGAGAAGCGGAGTGGCCGTAAACAGGAACTTGCCGCGATATATATAGAGGCGAGGGTTCCACTGGGCGCTGGCGCCCGCTCCACTCGCCCTACCCCAGCATTGCAATCCCGTGACATCACCGCTGGGGTGTGGTTCCAGCCGCAACGATTTCATCTTCTGCGCGTTAGGTAGCAAGAAAGATCTTCACGCCCCCACTCACCCCCCACCTCGTATAGCCTTCAACAGACGTTAGCGAGCGCATGTGGAAGCCGGCACGGCACACGAGGGGGCGGGTGGCCAGCACCACGCCCGACCGCCTTTGTCTCCCCCAGTGGCGACGTTTGCACACCGCACCAGGTACTCATTTGAGGCTGAGTTGACCTAGGGGAGAACCAAGACGGGTTCGGATAATCGTCACTGGGTGTTGGTGGCCGTGAGCGGGAATCGAACTAGGGTCGCCGGGTTCCTAGCGCAGCGCGCGCGCGCACACGTTGTCACCGTCCATGATCGATCCACTGCTAGATGAAGTTGTCGCCAAATCACAAACCGTCGCCAACATTCACGATTCTTCGTCTTTTCCATTTATTACATGGAGTCGATGGCACGACTTTACTTTGCCCCCCCCCATCTACTCCCATGGCTCTTCCTCTAGTGCAGTGGCTTTTCACCTGGGGGTGCACGCACGCACGCACCCCAGTGGGTGCCAGATGTCCTTTCTGGGGGTGCGAGACATGCCCAGTCGTTTTTCCCGTCTCTTGGGTATTTTCGCCGTCGGCGGCAATTCGTAGAATGTTCCACTTCTATTCGAAAAATGTCCATCTTTTCAGCAATTTGCCTTTTGAATCAAATGTCCCAATCAATGTCCCATTCTTCCAACATTTGCAACTATTCGCAAATTTCGGTGTAATCGGAATTTTTTCAAAATCAGCTACATGTGTTGTTCAATAATTGTGCCTTTTATCTGCAATGTTAACAAAGCGGCAATTTTGCGCGGGTTATCTGCATTTTTGCCGTCTCCGCACGGGACTTGGATGAACCACGCCCGGCCGCCTTTGTCTCCCCAGTGGCGATGTTCACACACCACACCAGTTACTCGTTTGTGGCTGAGTCGACCTAGGGGAGGTCCAGGACCGGTTCAAATACCGTAATCGTCACCGGTGGTGGCCGTGAGCGGGAATCGAACTCGGGTCGCCGGGTTCGTAGCGCAACGCGCTAACCACTACACTACAATGCGTTACGCTTCCACATGCGCGGGTCACGTGACAGATTTGACGTCACAGATCACTTGCCGTGCAATAAAATATATGCATTATTGAGCCCCCCCTCCCCCCCCCCAAAAAAATAAGTGTATTTTAAAATGTTTGCATGGTGTACAGTCTGGAAAGTACCCATATGGCAAATTTAAAGTTTGTTACATGTCGGGAAGTACGCTAAACATTTTGAACACACACACATAATCACAACTTTTCCTTTTAGATATATGGAGATATCATCCATTATCACAGATTATTGTATACGGTAAATAATCGAAAACACAAATTAGGCACGGGCACGCAAGTACAACGACCTTGTTTCATCAAACCCTATACATTTATTAACATCATACAATTTTTTGTTTGTTTATGATTGAAAAACCAAAACGGTGGCAGGCTTGCGGTCAAGATGAAGAAGCACTGCCCTGGTCACATCCACCCTCCCTCCCGTCTCGCCCTCGGTCCTCCCTCTTACCCCATCATGGCCTCCAGAGCCCTTCCAGCTGCATCTCCTCTGCAAGGCCCCCTGAGGTTTCAAACGTGCGGACACATTCAAGGAGGCCCCCGGTGCTACAATCCACCGAGCACTTGCGCGTGAGCCGATTTCATCGCTCCATCTCCGCAGTGGGACGATTCCCCGTTTGGGCGTGTTCTCGCCCTTGTATGTCAGTACGGATGTTGAACTTCTTTAGCACCGTACGTAGCCAACCGCTCTAATCGGAGGTGCGGGGGGAAGGGCAACAAACTAAACACGAGAAGCAGTTCTCAAGAAAAGGCTGCCTGCTACTCCATCGTTATCCTCGATGACCGGCCGGCCCATTCATTTCTATGTTCTCTGAACGCTGCGGTGGCTATGAGATGTTATCTCCCCCACCTGGTATGCAGGAGGTCGTGGGTACGATCGCGACTGTGGCGCGCACTGTATATTTGGAGTTTCTATGTCTCTCTCTCGCACTCCGTGGCCACGTGGACTTTTCTCTGGGGCATCCGGGTTTTTCCCTCAACGTTTAGACACACGTTTACATTCTTTGACTGCTATACTTTGCCACAAAAGCCACTTAGTTATGCTATCATTTGTGGCCAAGTCAAATCGCGAGGAGAGCTCATAGCCCAGTGGACTTTACCTGGTAAAAAATAATCAAAAACTCATGTGTTCCTTTTTCTGTCTTTCTCGGCACATTTGATTACATAATTTTCAGCCTTTTTTCCATATTATTAGTTTATGTCCACATTTCTGATCTGTGTCATAGCAAATAATGCACACACTAAATGCGGTACACGCGAAGTCTTGCAAGTTTCACATTTATTCATACAATACATAGAAGCCGTATACAAATGTTTCAAAATCATACTGGACTGACATGAGGTTTATAATGGTTGCGGGTAACGATCGGGGTGGAACCGTCGATTAATGTCGATACGTGAGCTCAAGAGACATGCATCGCATCAAGAATGAATGTTATTTTTGTACATATTTTAAATAATGGGGGTTCATACATCATCCATGCAACCACTGGAGGTGCTACAATTCACTGCAACGCCGAAAAAAGAATTCGTTCTTGAATCGAATTACAGAATCACTTTCAGGTAGGAAGGGGAATTTAATCCACAGCTATAAAAAAAAATTCATGCGTTGAGATCTTACATCATAAAAGCATGTTTATACTTTCAACATGTGTACTATAAGTCAGGGGCGGAGCCAGGGTTTTGACTTTGGGGGGGGGCTGACTTCAATATTCTGAGATATCCAGTGTTTATGTTTTCCAATGGGCGACACAAATGCATAAAACAAATTTTATTGGATTTGAACGCGGAGTTTATTAATAGGTCGGAGCCGCTGATGTGGCTAATAAGTTCGATAAGTTCGAAAGGCTGCCGCTCAAGCAGCCTCCAGGGCAGCACAAGGTGGCAGCCTGCAGGGCAGCACAAGGTGGCAGCACAAGGTGGCAGCCTGCAGGGCAGCACACAAAGTGGCAGCCTGCAGGGCAGCACACAAGGTGGCAGCCTGCAGGACAGCACAAGGTGGCAGCCTGCAGGGCAGCACAAGGTGGCAGCCTACAGGACAGCACAAGGTGGCAGCCTGCAGCATTTTGCAGCAGCAGGATATCCGGTTATCCCGATTACCGACTTTCCCAAAATTTCAGGGGTAGCTGAGCCCCCCCCCCCCCCAGCTCCCCCCCCTGTGGCTCCGCCCCTGATTGATTGATTGCTTCTGTGGACAGGTGTCTTTTATACAGGTAACAAGCTGAGATTAGGAGCACTCCCTTTAAGAGTGTGCTCCTACTCTCAGCTCGTCACCTGTATAAAAGACACCTGGGAGCCAGAAATCTTTGTGATTGAGAGGGGGTCAAATACTTATTTCCCTCATTAAAATGCAAATCAATTTATAACATTTTTGACATGCATTTTTCTGGATTTTTTTGTTGTTATTCTGTCTCTCACTGTTCAAATAAACCTACCATTAAAATTATAGACTGATCATTTCTTTGTCAGTGGGCAAACGTACAAAATCAGCAGGGGATCAAATACTTTTTTCCCTCACTGCATAAATCGGCCATGCAAGGAACAGATTTTCCAAAGATTTACCGCAATGCTACAAACTAAACGCAGCTCACATTTCCGGCGAACAATGATGTATCGGTGTGCGAGAATATCACAGATAAGTTTATTTCTTCCATCGCCCCCCCCCCATTTTCATTCTGTTATGATATCTCAGCCGTAATAGAAGCACGGCAGATTTTATAGTCTCGGGCGAGCGAAAAATAAATGAGAATTTTAACGCAACAGACAGCGAGGGGATTCGGGAGCATATGTCTTGGACCCCTCCCTCCACGCAACCACTGCTGACACGAAACAATGCAGAATTTGCTTCATCAGAGACTACGGTGCGTCTGGCCTCGTGCTGCAAACATCCACACCGTGGGGGAATTGACGGCTGGAGGGAAATAAGTTGCAGAAACAACCTGCCCCAGATCCGTCACCGCACGTGATCCTCGCGATTCATTATAGATAAAAAGTCCAGGACGGCCATCGTGAACCGCGCTTGGAGTTCACATTTCAAATATAACTTAGGGGCCGGCCATAAATGACGTCACGCGATTTTTGACGATTTTTGACCCCCCCCCCCCTACCTCGTCACACGGCGTCACAAAAAGTCAGACCCCCCCCCCCTCAAATATAGCGCCAGAAAGCTCTGCCCCCCCCCCAAAAAATATATATAAAACATGCTTCAAATCGCTTTAAACTATTGTCATTGTAGTGCGTATTTAATGTAGCGCTGCACTCTGATGTTGTATGAGAAAACATTTATTAAAAAGTCTATTTAATTAAGTTGTCCCACCTGATGACGATTGCTTGTGTTGCGATCAAAACGTCGTGATCTATTATTTTTCTACCTACGTGACTTTACCGAAAGAACCAAATAGTATTATTTTTTTTTACCAGGATAAGGCCCAATGGGCTGTACAGCTCTTTTTTGGAAGTGAGCTGGCCACAAATGATAGCTCAACGATGTGGATTATCACGTGGAAATCTATAGCAAGCAAATGTGGAGGGAAAAACTGGAGGACCCGGAGAAAACCTCACGCGCGACCACGGGGAGAGAGACATGCAAACTCCAAATATACAGCAGCAGGCATCAGGGTCTGGATCGAACCCACGACCTCCTGTATACCAGGCGAGGCAGTTAACATCTCCTAGCCACCGTGGCGCCCAACTCTGCCCACCACTACTCAAGTAGCCCTCACCCTTTGCCCACATCATGGGTCAAGCATGAGGCCAGAAATGTTTAAACCGGGGACAAAAATCCCAAGTTTATCAAATTTCTTCGGGACACCGGGAATAGACTTTTTCAAACCGAGACTCACCATCATCATCAACCATGATCAATCCACTGCTGGATAAAGGCCTCCACCCAAACCACCTTCACAGCCTCTCGCGAACCTGCGGTGTAACGCTCCGCCTGGCACCTTGACACGAAAACAGTGGCCCCGGGCAAACCCAGGACGAGTGGCAGCTTCGCCCGATGGCACCTCCCTCCCTAGGCCTTCTGCTTGCTCGCCTCCGCCGCTCCGACGCTGGTCACGGCGAAGAGGCGAAGCCCCGAGTAGAAGACCTCGTAGCGGTGCTTCCACATGATGTAGCAGGTGAGCAGGCACACGATGGCGAGCAGGAGGTTGAGGGCGACCTGCAGGAGCAGGAACGCCTTGAGGCTGCCCGTCACGTCGGAGCAGTCGCTGACGCCCGCGTAGCGCACGACCCGCGCGATAGGGTCCCTGGGGTCGACGCGGCACTCGCACGTGCCGCTGCGCGCGTTGAGCTGGCAGCTGTAGCGCGTGAGCTGCGTGTAGTGGTGCCCGCAGAAGGACACGGCCAGCAGGCTCAGCGCCATACCCAGCACGCACAGGAGGAAGTACGTGATCTGGCCACGGCGGTTGAGAAGAGAGGTAGGGGAGGAAGGGAGGATGAAGTACGCACAATACGGTGGAGCGATCCAAGCAGCTGTCACGTGTCGCGAGCGCCCAGGATAAATGCCAGGTCCAGCAGCGGAAACGTACATAATTGTGCATAAAGAAGAGAGTTTTCAAATCAGTGCGTATTACCTGCCATGACATGGATCAGACATTGATGAAACAAGTTGAACAAATATTAAAAAGTGTACGAAGAAATGTGGAGAAGTGCATGATTGAAATTGCACCGAGACAGAAAGAGGAACATATGCATTAGTGAACATATGCATAGCCTAGATAAATAGAGGCAGGTTAGTGAAATTTCTCTCTTAATTGTAAATTTAAAAAAAAATCTACATTAGATGTAAAACATACACCTACACACTTAATATACACACACAGAACATGTAATATAAGTGCATTAATGTATCCCATGAGACATAGTGTTGATTCAAATGTGTGTATGTCTGTTCCACGCTCCGCATAAAACATTGATTACATTTTGATAGATGACGTTCAATTGAATCAACGCTCTCTTGTCACGTCAGACGTGTTAACCAATCATCAGGCGCGTGTAGCATGTAACAACCTCATAAGTATTTGAATATAGAATATTGGACTACGGTTCAGTGGCATAGCGTGCTTCGTTTGGGGGCCCTGCTACTAAAAATTACATTGGGGTGTGGGGGCATGTCTAGTTTAACCCCCCTAATCCCAGCCAAACGCCCGGGGCCTGTCTGGCCCCGTGGGTGCTGCTGTAGTTACACCACCTGCGCACTCTACAGCGACCCCGCTTCTTGGGTTTGGGAAAACCAATCGGGTTTCGTGTCAAAGCGCGGTTTTCGTGCGTACTTTTGTGCAGAACTGTAGCGAAGTGTCCTCCTCCGCCTTGTAGTTCACGCACAGCACGACCAGTCCAATGATGGCGACGATGCAGACCTGCACAGATAGAGAGAGGATCGAGGCGGGGGGGGGCGGTGATTGAGCACAGCCCGTTCGGCAAGAACGCCGCGTGCCCCATCTGGGATTTGCCGAGCGTCCGTCGTTCATCCGTGGCAAACCCCGCCGTCTGGAGCACCATCGCCCCGCTCAAGGTTAGCAGCGTTCGATCTCCACCGAGTTCTAGGAGGCACTCGAGGGCGACGAGCCTCGTGTCGCCTGGCTCTCAGGTAACACCGAGCTTGACTCCACACCTCAGGTTATTTGTCCGTGAATTGTTGTGCGTGTTATAAATTGCATCGTTTATTATTATTATTTGTATCTCCCAATGTACACTCAACATCCCCGACCTGGAATTTGGAATTTCCCAACTTAAACGCACATCACCTGCTCTGAAGTTATTATGGCATATGGGCAAGGTATACAGAGGCCAGGTGATGCAGATTTAAAAAAAAATGGGACATCCATATGGCCTTAATGTTCTGGGATGGGGCAGAGTGCGGTTAGAACGTTGTTTTAGCAGTATAATTGTAAAGCGCTTCAATTGTAATTAAGTTTAGCAGGCTAACAAACGGAGGGAACCCAATTTGAATGCAATTACAATGAATTACCGCGCGGTCTCGTTTTGGCTGCCAGATGTGGTATAAATGTCTCCTGCAAATTGGTCCTCAGGACTCATTTACACGTGACCGCACACACAGTTGTCTCTAATCGCAGTTGAATCTCGTCCAAACTGAGATGGGAAACCAGATTAAATGTAAATGCTTCCTCCCATTAATGCAACACCTGGTGATAAAATAGCCATCAAAGGTTCGGGCGAATGGTTTGTTCTTTGCCCGTTTCCACACCCCCGTTCTCCTTAACGATGTTATTTTTTTTTCCTGCTCTGTCCCAATGACTCATAATAAGAGTGAATTGTTCGATAAGCCGTCAGTCACTCTCATTGGCCCACATAAAGACATTGTAAGCACATTAAAGCAATGGCACATGTTACTGTACGTTGAACTTCTTTCGCACCGTGCGTAGCCAACCGTGCTAATCGGAGGTGCGGGGACTGACAGCAGGCGAAGTGTCTGGTCTGGGCACGCGTACAGCGAGTCCCTTGACGCGTGCTGCCGGCGCTTTAACCGAGTGCTTGGTGATCAGAGGCGCTGAGCTGAGTATCACAGGCAGCATATTGGAACGTCTCAAGTGAAGACATTATCAAACCTTGAATATATATTAGTTTATGTTGCAATGCGTACAGTATTTGATTACGTAAAGGGTCGTCTGCTAAATATCTACTAAAATTTATCGTTAATTTAATAAACTGTTCATCTGTAAAAGGCTCTGTGCATATATATTTAAGGACCCATTGCCACAACATCGCCATTAGAATTTAAAATGACTCGAGGTGTCATCTTTAGAGGGACAAATACATAATTGGATGTTTTTACCAACTTAAAGTTGTTGGTACAAATGGAGTTTTGGCATCTCGAGTATGGCACCAACAAGTATAATATTTGGCCTGTGCCCATGTTCATGTGGTGAGTGGAGATTTTTGAGAGTTTTGTGAATGAATACATTTATTACGTAATTTAAAATGTGCATTTTAATGGATTTAATAATACGATTATGCAGCTGCACGCTTTAAATCTTGTTTGTAATAAGACGGTTTTGGAGATTCTTTAAAATGAAGTCTGCGAGTCAATAATGATTTTAATTGTAAAACACTGATTATAAATGAACATATTTATGCATGGCATGGGTACTGTGTTGTGAAGAAAATTAATATTGTAACACGCATAGTTTAATTGTTGAGTTGAACAACTCCAGACTGCTATTGTGATTAATGCACAGAGCAGCGAGTGTTCAAACATAGGCCGAACACATTTGAACCTACTAATAATTTGTTATCAATGCTTTTTTAATTATACATCATCACCCCTTGTGAATATTAAGTTGCCTGCCAACACAAAAGGTTAAACACTCAACTGGATTACATTTTTTAAAAAAAATATCTCTGGCAAATCCATTAGCAACACACACAAACACATTTTAAACAATAACTTTAAACGTCATCATTCTCTATGATAAAAAAAAAATCAACCTGAATCCGCCTGATCTCATCTGGTCTCGGAGGGGTTGGAGCCTGGCTCCGACTCGGATGGCTGACCGCCAGTGTGCACACCTCGTGATGTGCCGTGCGTGGGGGCTGCATGCTGGCCGGTTCGATAGCGGCACAATAACGGATCCTTGAATCCACGTGTAGTGTGCTCAAGGTCGAACAACGGGTTCAGCCTGCAGGTGATTGCGTGCATTGAGTATTTAAATTGAATCCATCTGCACCGTTGGCTACGTACGGCGCGAAAGAAGTTCAGCGTACAATACGTCTGTGCGGAGTGCTGAGAGTGTTCGGTATCCCTTCATATTCGCGTGCGTGTTTGCTCTGGGTGCTCCGGTTTACTCCCCCAACACATGAAGCCGAAAAAAACCTCTCCGATGGCAATGACCAAGCTTCACCAGTGCGGCAGGACCCTTCTGAACAAGAGTCTTGAGACTCCGTGAGGCATTCGTGGATAAATAAGGGACAGCGTCATGTATGGAATTATCTGAACTGTGGCTCTATTCCACGAAACCACAATTCTTTAGCAGCATTGTCATGATTATTTTACCAGTTTAAAATTATACCCCCACCCCTTCCCCCAGAACGAATTTGTCACGTAAATCTACGCTCAAATATCATACTTGTTATTGGTAAACTCCCAAGCAGCCGCGCTGCTCATGACAACTGTTAGACGCAAACATCAGGCGTTTACACACTTCTCCAAATTAGCCCACGGGCAAAAGTATATCCAGATAGCCGCGTGCCCGGCTCAGTCCATTATTAAACCACCAGGATTGATTGCACTAACGCCACGTGCTGCGAAGTGTCAGGGGCAATGACCAGCCTTACAAGTGGGCTGGCTCCTCTTGTTGCTTGTGGTCAAAATAGAAGCGGGTCTTGCCGTGAGTTTGCAAGTAGAGAACGAGTGAGATCATGTACGCCGTGTTAAGAGAATGAAGAGCCGGTGAAGATAATCCCTCCCTGGCTTCGATCTTCCGTGAAGCCTATGGGGGGGAGGGGAGGCAGAGCCCCTAAACCGCATCCCCACACGAACCGTGGCACAAATGGGAAATTAAAAAAAAACTCTCCAACTGAGCGGTTTCGGTCACCCAGATAAAAACCATGAAACATTTCACGACTCAATGCCCGATTCATAAATACAAAGGAGGCATCATCACAGCGATTACACCACTCCGTTACTCCTGACCCAATGATCTGGCTCAACCTCCTCAATGTAACGTTAGAGCTGTTGCTCGACACCCGATGAGCACGGTTGGCTACGCACGGTGCAAAAGAAGTTCAACATATATACGTAGAATAACAGCAAAAAATTAAAGACAAAAATCCCCCGTGTAGCCTTAACAAACTGTTGGGGCAAGTGCTGTTAGCGAGCACCTGTGAAGGCCGGCACGGCACACGAGGGGGTGGGTGGCCAGCACCACGCCCGGCCGCCTTTGTCTCCCCAGTGGCGATGTTCACACGCCGCACCAGGTACACATTCTCTCACACGTGCACACACTCATACATATACAGACGCGTGCACGCAGCCTTTTTTTAATACATACACACATTTATCATACTCTCTCGTCCCTACATACACACGCATCGAGACTCTGACACTCTCCCACACTCCTCTCTCTCGTCCCTACATACACACACATCGAGACTCTCACACTCTCCCACACTCCTCTCTCTCGTCCCTACATACACACACATCGAGACTCTAACACTCTCCCACACGTGAACACACGCAGACTCTCTCTCACACACACTGACAGACTCGCACACGAACTCACGCACACAGAAAGGGTAGCATATGAAATGTCCTCTGCTAAATTGCTGTCCCCCACCAATCCACGCAAACACACGCTCTCGAACATCAAATACACGCACGTACCAACTCTCTCAAAGACACACAACAACAACCGCCATTCGCCACTAAGTGGCGGTGACGTCACCACGTCGCTTGTGCCAGGCTAGGTGCACGTTGAGGCTACGTGAAGCGTCGAACGTCCGCTGGCAGGAGGTCACGGGGCAGACCCAGCGGGTGCCACGGGTCGACTGAGATGAGTGGCCGATGCACCACCTGTGCCCCCTATACACACACACATCACCTATACACACACACACCGCCTATACACACACACACCGCCTATACACACACACCGCATACACACACACACCGCCTATACACACACACCGCCTATACACACACACACCGCCTATACACACACACTACCTATACACACACCACCTATACACATACACACCGCCTATACACACACACCACCTATACACACACACCGCCTATACACACACACCACCTATACACACACCACCTATATACACACACACACCGCCTATATACACACACACCGCCTATACACACACCACCTATATACACACACACCACCTATATACACACACACCACCTATACACACACACCACCTATACACACACCACCTATACACACACCACCTATACACACACACCACCTATATACACACCGCCTATACACACACCGCCTATATACACACACACACCACCTATATACACACACACCACCTATTCATAATAAAGGTTTTTGGGTTAGATCGAGTTAAAATAATAATAATAATGCGATCTAACCCAAAAACCTTTATTATGAATAATATTGGTCGCGAAAGCCTACGTGTTAAACTGACACACCACCTATACACACACCACCTATACACACACACCGCCTATACACACACACCGCCTATACACACACACCACCACCAAGCTAAGTTGAACCCGTGGCTGGGAATTGAACTTCAAGTGGCCAAGTTCGGAGTGCAATTCATTCACCGCTGCAACACCAAAGACACAGATACCCCGTATAGCCTTAACGAACTATTGGGGCAAGTGTTGTTAGCGAGCACCTGTGAATGCCGGCACGGTACACGAGGGGGTGCTCCCACACCGAGACACACTTTGTCTCACACACAGAGACACACGTTCCCTTGCACACACACGCATATCGACACAAAGACAACGATCCCCGTATAGACATACCGTACTGTATAAAAGGTTGCAGCAAGTAAATTTAGATAGCCCCTATTGAGGCCCGCACTGCGCACGAACACACACACAGAAGCGTGAGAGAGTGAGCGAGTGAGAGAGTGGGTGAAAGTGAATGACAGAGTGAGTGAGAAAGTGAGTGGGTGAGAAAGTAAGTGGGTGAAAGAGTTAATGAGACAGTGAGTGTATTAGAGAGTGAGTGGGTGAGAGAGTGGGTGAGAGGGTGAGTGAGTGGGTGAGAGAGTGGGTGAAAGAGTGAATGACAGAAAGAGTGTGTGAGAGAGTGAGTGGGTGAGAAAGTGAGTGGGTGAAAGAGTTAATGAGACAGTGAGTGTATTAAAGAGTGGGTGAGAGAGTGAGTGAGTGGGTGAGAGAGTGAGTGAGTGGGTGAGAGAGTGGGTGAAAGAGTGAATGACAGAGTGAGTGAGTGGGTGAGAAAGTGAGTGAGTGCGTGAAAGAGTTAATGAGACAGTGAGAGTATTAGAGAGTGAGTGGGTGAGAGAGTGAGTGGGTGAGAGAGTGAGTGGGTGAGAGAGTGAGTGAGTGGGTGAGAGAGTGAGCGAGTGAGAGAAAGAGTGAATGACAGAGAGAGTGTGTGAGAGAGTGAGTGGGTGAGAAAGCGAGTGAGTGGGTGAAAGAGTTAATGAGTCAATGAGTGTATTAGATAGTGAGTGGGTGAGAGAGTGAGTGGGTGAGAGTGTGAGTGTGTGAGAGAGTGAGTGTATTAGAGAGTGAGAGAGTGAGTGGGTGAGAGAGTGAGTGGGTGAGAGAGTGAGTGGGTGAGAGAGGGAGTGCATGAGACATTGAGTGATAGAGTGAATGAGGGAGTGAGTGAGGGAGTGTGTGAGAGAGTGAGTGAGTGGGTGGGTGAGAGAGTGGGTGAGAGAGTGAGTGGATGAGAGAGTAAGTGTGTGAGTGAGTGTGTGAGTGTGTGAGCGAGTGAGCGAGAGAGTGAGTGGGTGAGAGAGAGGGAGTGTGTGAGTGTGTGAGCGAGTGAGCGAGAGAGTGAGTGGGTGAGAGAGGGAGTGAGTGAATGTGTGAGAGAGTGAGCGAGAGAGTGAGTGTGTGAGAGAGTGAGCGAGTGAAAGAGTGAGTGGATGAGAGAGTGAGTGGGTGAGAGAGTAAGTGTGTGAGTTTGTGAGCGAGTGAAAGAGTGAGTGAGCGAGTGTGTGAGTGTGTGAGAGAGTGAGTGGGTGAGAGAGTGAGTGGATGAGAGAGTGAGTGGGTGAGAGAGTAAGTGTGTGAGTTTGTGAGTGTGTGAGAGAGCGAGAGAGTGAGTGAGAGAGTGGATGAGAGAGTGAGTGGGTGAGAGAGGGAGTGTGTGAGAGAGTAAGTGTGTGAGTGAGTGTGTGAGTGTGTGAGTGAGTGTGTGAGTGAGTGTGTGAGAGAGTGAGTGTGTGAGTGAGTGAGCGAGAGAGGGAGTGTGTGAGTGAGTGTGTGAGAGAGTGAGCGAGAGAGTGAGTGGGTGAGAGAGGGAGTGAGTGTGTGAGCGAGAGAGTGAGTGGGTGAGAGAGTGTGTGAGTGAGTGTGTGAGTGTGTGAGTGAGTGTGTGAGTGAGTGTGTGAGTGTGTGAGTGAGTGTGTGAGTGTGTGAGTGAGTGTGTGAGTAAGTGTGTGAGTGAGTGCGTGAGTGAGTGAGTGAGCGAGAGAGTGAGCGAGAGAGTGAGTGAGAGAATGAGTGTGTGAGTGTGTGTGTGAGAGAGTAAGTGAGTGTGTGAGTGTGTGAGAGAGTGAGTGAGAGAGTGAGTGAGATAATGCGCGTGCGGTATTACGGGGATGCCGGCCCAGTGCGGAGCATCCCTGGTCGCCAGAGGAGCCACACCGAGCATCACGAAGGCCACCACCGCGATGGACACTCCGAACAGCAGCTGCAGGATCGCGGCGAACAGCGGGAAGCGGCACCCACAGCACTTGTACAGCTTCTCCTCTTCCTCCTGCTGCTGCTCCTGCACTTCCACACGTGTCCCGGAGCCCTGTGCACCGCTGGGTGAAGTATAACCTTGTTGCTGGGGGGGTCCCTTGTTGCGATCGCCACGAGCAGTGGACGGCTCAAGGCCCCCACCCGGAGCCGAGGGGCTGCTGGGCTGAGTCCCCACGACTCCTCGCTCCTTGCCCTTGGAATTGGACATCTTTGTTCGTGACAATCTCCTCCAACCCCGCTGGAGATGCGCTTCAACCTTGCTTGGCTTTGTTGTTGTGGTTGGTGGTGGTTGTTGTTGTTGTTGCTACGCGCTTGCTTGCTACTCCGCTCTGACTTTCACGCGCGGACAAAAAGCCAACTCGACACGGCTAAAAATTCCAAAACTAAAATTCCAACTTTTTTTTGGGGGGGGGGGGTGGGGGGGAGAGGTGGTGGGGGCTGTAGGGAGGGAGAGAATGTCCGCGAAGTGGAACACAGCAGCTTCCCAGACGCGGAGGCTGGCTGCTGGATCGGTCGAAAGCCTCGATGCCGGGCTTCTTCTGGCTGTGAGAGAGAGAGGAGGAGGAGGCCGGGCAGAAAATGCGACAGGAGCGGCGCTGCCGAGCGGATAGGCGACAAATTTTGCGGCTGGATTGTTGACAAGCCCCAATCGCGTCGGCGTGGAGAGAGTCACCATGGGAGGGAATGAGGAGACGGCCACGAGTGAGAGCAGAGATGATGGAAGGGGGAGGGAAAAGAGAAGGATGGGGGGTTGGGGGTTGCCTTACCACGGAATGTTTTCGCATTACGTGTTTCCCATATGCGGCGAGTGAGCCAGCCCAGAGCCTCTGGCGCAAAGACATTGGATATGACAGGGGTTGCTGGAGGCGTCAAAGTCTGCACTCGTCTGCAATGGGTGTGAGGTTTAATATAAACCCCATGACGCTGTCGTGGTGCAATGGTTGCTTTAAACACGCTGAGGTTGCAACCTCGTGGTTGCTTGTTCGATCTCCAGGCTCGGCATTTTAAACAGTGGGCAAGTTTCCTAACTCCCCCCCCCACCCCCGAAACGGCCATCCTTCCCCAGCCTCTGTCCAGCCATCAGTGTGTGCGTTTCCTTGTAGTCGCTGCTACGTGCCACGACGTGTTACTTGCCTCGCCTCCGTAGAACATGCGAGCTCACTGTTTTTATCTCTCTCTCTCTAAAGCAGTGGCTCTTCGCTAATTGTGTCAGAGGTGGAGTCACTTTTTTGCCGATAGGACATCATCATCAGCGCGAGGGCCGCCACACATTCTAAACCATCGGGGTTTGACAGCACGTTTTGTTTACGTGGCAAACATTGCTAATTGGCTGTGTCGGGTGGTGGCTGGTTTAACGACACATTTATATTTACGCGATCTCACCCAAACCCCCAAAAAAACCTAACTCTTATGGATAATATTGTTCGCGAAAGCCTACTGTGTGTTAAAATGATGGGATGTGTTGTCACGTGTTGCTGTATTGTCGGGGGCCGCACTCAAGGCCACGGGGCCCCCCGCGCGCCTGGCAAAGGAAGAACGCCGCTCCAGAGAGGTCGTGATCCGATGCACTCGCAATGAGACATAAGCTGCGTAAAATCCACGTTGAATTTTGTTTTACATGGGACAGAGCGTTCACGTCGACTCGACTGGACACCTTCATCCAGCAGTGGATAGGTCATGGCGAAATTAATGATCATTTGAGTGTGATCGGGACGACAAAAGGGCATTGTGAAACCTGAGATCTCAACTTGCATGCAATTCACACCACACTTTTTTGTTTCTGAGCAGTTAATCATTTAGCCACACCTTTGAGCAACAGCGCTCCCTTTCCTGCGGGGTACAATACCATCGATTCCAACGCGTGCAGCCGCCCACGCAGAGGGACCGTTCACAGTTTAAAATGCAGCCTCAAGACAACGTGTCAAATATATCATCGTGCTTTTATGAATTCAGTTGCGAGCCCGTTGAGATTCTCATTTTTGTTTGGGAAAGACGGAGCGCAAAGTCATTGGAAATATATTCGTTACTTTCCCAGGCGTAGGTAACGTTTTGTTATTTTTGCGTACCGATTTTGGTAATCTGGCAGTTGTATCTTTAATCGGATAAGCGCGTGTATGCATTGAGGTTGATTACCGCTCAGCCGCGACAATTCTGATGCAGAGTACATTCCAGAGAGGTCGTTCGTCAATTCCTTGCAGGACGTGTGACCGGGTGGCTCTGAGAGGTTTAAGCACAGAGTCCTGTAACGTTGAGAGCCTGAGTTCAAGTCCGAGCCCACTGCTGATTCTGTTCTCGGCCTGGCCTCCAATGAATGCACAAATAAAAACCAATCACCTTCGACCTGGTTCTGAAATTCATTTGTATTGATTTCCAGCTCTCGAAATGACATTATCATTTTGGCTGCCATGCGGCAAAAAGCATGAAGAGGTCGCGAGGCCGGTACCCCCCTGTTTTGGGGGGGGGGGGTACCCCCCTGTTGTGGGGGGGGGGTACCCCCCTGTCGTGGGGGGGGGGGGCTAGTACCCCCTTGTTGTGGATAAGAAATGTGGCTTGAAGGGATCTCTGGGGATTTTTGCTTCCACGGATATCACGAAACTACTTGTGTGGATATATTGATGAGAGTTATTGGACCACATTTCACCACACTGGTCTGTCCAGGTTGGTATTAGAACAATTACATTAACTGCACTGCCCTCTACTGCCCACAACACCTGTTTTTGTGCCTGGTAGTCACCCACTAATCTATCTTTATTTTCCGTGCTAATGTCGCCCTCAATAAAGTAGGCATCAGCGCACATTACAACCCATGCAAGCACTATCCAGGCTCAACGTCCTGATTAGCTTCTGAGGGTCTGACAAGATCGGGTGTAATTCTGGGCGAATGTCAAGACTAACCCCAACGAGTCTGTCTCGTGTGGAAGAGTAGGCCAAGATGCAATCTTAAGATGTCCCTCGAGTGGCGGGCCTCCTGCCAGCAGTTGCGGGAGCAACAAATGACGTCAGCTGCACATTTACCTTCGCCTAACGTCAATCAGAATCTTTATTTAGACTGCAAGAGGAATCCGATGAGCTATGAAGCTCTTTTTCACACATGTCCAGTTAGGGCACAGGGACAGACCGTTACATTACGAAAACACGATAGGAGTTCAAAGTGGAGAAACGGTAAGCGAAATCACTATTTATCTGTTTAGTTTACCAGGTAAAGCCCACGGAGCTATTAACTTATTTTTTCAGAAGCGACCCGATCACAAATGGTAGCTCAACGAAGTGGCTTATGTGGAAATGTATAGCCTCGAAATACTCTTAAATAATAGAAGCCATTCAGCTAGGCGGCGGCGGTGGCTATGCACGTGGCCTGTAATCCAGCACTGTGGAGTTACCGAGGGCTGGGGGGGGGGAAATCACTGCACAAATGTTGTGAAACTCCCTCCCCGTGGGGCGTTGAGGTGCACATACCCTGACTCGCCAGACCACGGCAATCCAGCAAAAAATGTTCACTCCACCCGTTCCGTCTGGAGTTGAGTTTGAGTGCTTCTCCCTGGCAACCTTGGGGTTCCCTTCGGGCGCTCCGGGTTTCCCCCCGCGTGTGAACACTCGTTCTTTGATCCGGGGTACCAAATAATACAAAATATGCCGAGGCAATTAAATATTTTATTTCTGGGACACTATTTTTTTTCCAGGGGTGTACTTCACTCCGCGACTGGGGTACCAATCAATCCGATATCAGTGCCCCACTCCGCGATGTCAAAATGCAGCGAGGACGATTGCGCTGAAACCCTGAACGCTCGTACGCACCGTAGTGGTGCATCGTGTACAGCTCGTCGAGATGAGTCGATTGCCGCATCGCCGACCATCAACAGACTAAAAATAGCTGCATCACGGACATGATGCGAGAGCCGGGGCACTATGGTATACCCTGGGGTACCGCCATAAGGTTGAATTGGCCGATAACACCTTCACACAGAGAGGAACTGCACAAGCTTGGGCAAATATTGGTGGCGGCTCCAGCGCCAGATTAAAGCTAGTGCGGGCCCTGTAGCATGCTATAAAGGGGCCCTAAATAAATAAATATTAAAACACTTTTTTTTACTTGCATAGTAAAGTAATTGTACTTTTATTCATTTGCTATACAGCCAGATAATACGACAAATGGCTAACCTTAAACACCCCAGTAGTTCGTAAAAGTAGGCGGTGGTATAGTACTATAGTAATAGAGCAAGTGCAGAATCACTGCAACAGCCCATTCCTGTTCAGCAGTTCGACTGCTGTATCTTTCTACCCGATGACGATTGCTTGTGTTGCGATCGAAACGTCGTGATTTATTATTTATTTGTCTACCTACGTGACTTTACCGAAATAATCAAAGAGTACGGAATTGGCTAGCCTAAAAGAATTTAGCGCGGGGCTCTTGAAAGCCCGGGGGATGAGTGAGTGGGTGGGTGGAGGGCCCGCAGCACATGGCTACTTGCGCTACTGAGATCACCGGGCCAGCGGGGTCTGGCTCGCCGCGTGGTGACCTCTTTCCCCGCGGTTCCTCCCAGCTCGCGCCTCGGTGTCGTCCTCTCGCTACGGGCGCCGACGACATCATTCCAAACCACAGAAGGGGGAGAGGGGGGGTGGTGGTGGCAAGAGAGCAGCAGCTGCCGAACAAACTTTTTATTTATTTTCACAGCGTGCGTGCGTGCGCGCGCGTGCCAGCGCTCCACCGGTAACCAGGAACAACTTTGTGAGCAGCAAGAAACTTAAGAGCTTCATTTTTAACACTTCCTCCTCCTCCTCCCGCCTCTCGTCTGTACACGCGCAAACGCGGGCATTCCTGTCCGGCACTTGACGCGACCTCGCGATAAAATATATATCCCTCTTTTTATTTCTTCATTAGCATTCTTTGGTCATTTTCAGCAGCTCGCAGGAGCAAAACTGCCCAATGAGAGAGGGGAGGGAGGGGGGGTGATGGGCGAAGGGAGGAAAACAGTAAACACAAAAACAAACAGCCCCGTGGCTTGGTTCAGACAAAGCTCACGCGTGATGGAAGCGAACATTTTTTTTCTTGGCTACATATTCTACTCAAACTTGCTTTTTTAAAAAAAAAGTTTTGCTTAAATGTTTTTTTTCTCAACATTCATTGAACGGCTACGTGTCGCACTCTGTACATATCCAAGGCGTGTTAGGTCGTTAGGCAGTTCATCCAACTTTTCAACGTTTACAAAACCCTACGATAAAACTTATTTTTTTTTGCTTCACCGGGAAGTCGGCGCCCCCCGCCCGATCTTCCGCGTGACGTCCGAAGTTTCTGGGCCCACGTTTTTGTTGTTGTTGCCGCCGCCGCCGGCTATCTTGGGAGGAAACCGAAACGTCGAGACGAATAAAAATCGCCAATTGCCGCCCGCACGACGAGCGCGGCGGAAACCCGAGAGAGGCCAACCGCGGGCGACCCACGGCGGCGAGAACCCCGAGCGGGGGAGAGAGAAAAACAAACCCACAAAACCCTACGCAGGAGTAAAAGCCACCCCCAACAACTGCTTTTTTATGCTTTGCCAAGTGGTCATGCTCCACGAACTCCTCACTAAAGTCAATCGATTTCTGCCGATGAACCGCAACGTAAATACCCTGGCCAAAACGTATGGTTGTATTCAGGGCCGGATTAAGAGGCGTGGGGGGCTTTAGGGGCTGCAGCCCAGGGGGCCTCCAGAGATGAAGTGAAAAGTTACTTCATTTGTGAATGCTGAATTTTATTTGTTAGCCTAGTAAAAAAAAACACTTTATTTTTCTTTAACTTTGTTTTCCTTTTGGAAATATTACTGGGGGCCTCGCAGTACCTGTAGCCCAGGGGCCTAGACAATATTAATCCGGCCCTGGTTGTATCGTCTGCGATAAGAAAGCATTTGTTGTGAACGTATGTGAAACTTTGCATGACGGTGCATGAATCTAAAGTGGTCATGGGGTTCCCTCCCCCCCCCCAACTTTTTACAAAACCTGCAATGACCAGCATAGTGAAGTATGGTCAAACAACCCCAGTGACTGGTGCAGCATGGGGAATATTGAGTCAGCAGTGGGTTGAAAATGGGCTGTTAAATCATTACAATTTTGAATTATACATTACAGTAGTTGTCAACGTGGCAATTGGCCACAAAGTATGTGGATTTAATTTACGCAGTCGACAGATGTGTTAACACCTAACTCACGATCACAGTTGGTGGGGTCATAACACGTTAGCGGCAGGCAATGCGCCAATTAAGCACCATGTGTTGAGCTAAAATGCGTTGTAGAAATTGCATTTGTTAATGTTTTGAGATGAAAGTCAAAGTGATTTTCTGCTCAAATGAGCACCGAGGCATTAGTGCTCATCTCCTGTTTACAGCCCTGAGCCAGCAGTGGAATTTCCACATTTCTATAACAGGGGGAGGGGAGGACAGGTCTAGCCACAGGACAACCAACTGTTGGCTTCAACAAATTGGTACCAAATTTATCGTCCCTGGAGAGATGATGGGCAGAGTCAACCCCACCCCCAAACAACACTTGAACTCCGAAACCTTCCGATGTGCTCGCCGCTCTCTCCACCACGGAGCCACCTGGCCGCGTTCAGGCACCTCTCGATAAAACCGAACTTTTGTAATATTTTTTTTGTCTTATCATAATCATACCGAACGCATCATGCCGTGTAATAAATGAACACAGGTGAACGTGGCGGCTGGGGAACACGAACTCTCGCTTCACCCGAGCTGGGGGCGCACAGCGGCGTTTCGCCCTGACGAAGAAAGTCGCGTTCACACGCCGACGCGTGAAGACAAACGGCGAGGACGTTCTCGAGACCAGGCGACGACTCCGATGATCTCCTGGCTACGGGTCGAAAGGTTCCGCTTGTTGTTGCGCAACAGATGGCGTTGGACCAAGTCGCCGCGACAGATTGTGGTGCGTGCCGTTTAAAACGTGGGCGGCTTTCGCGACCAATGTCATCCATAAGAGTTTTTTTTTGGGGTTAGATCGCGTAAATATATAAATGTGTCGTTAAACCCGCCACCACCCAAGAGCCAATTAGTAAGGGTTGTCACGTAAACAGAACGTGCCAATTCGTCACTCGTACAGCACACCGGCGTGTTGGAGGGCAAATCCACAACATTTACAATCCGAGTACGACGTTTCACCAGTAATTACAACCAGCTTCATCAAGCAATCTGTCCGCCTGATGATGACAATTGGTCCTCCCGATGTTGCTAGTTGATTACTGGCGAAACGTCGTACTCAACATTGTAAATGTTGTGGCTTTGCTCTCCAACACACCGGTGTGCTGTACTAGTGATGAATTGGCATGTTCTGTTTACGTGACAACCCTTACTAATTGGCTGTGTCGGATGGTGTTGAGTTTAACGACACTGATATATTCACGTGATGTAACCCAAAACAAATTCTATTGTGTGTGCCGCGTTCACCCGATTAAGAAGACACACCACACAACTTGGGCCCGGTGTCAATACAAGGGGAGGGGGTAAAGTGTATCTGATAGCCCGCAGAATACCGTAACAAAGTTTAACGTATATTTTTTTTCCACCTGGTTAACCGATCCCGCATGAAAGCTGGATTTTCCAAGATAATGTGCGATTAAAGTTGAATGCAGATAGGGATTCCTAAAACTGGCAGATTTACCGTAAACGTAATGCCATCAATTCCACGTTTTAAGTCTTTAATTGAACAAACGCATGTACACGTCAGTCGATTACCCTGCCAGCTGCGACGACGATGATTGAGAGAACATTGGAGACAGACCGTTCATGAATTCAAGTTGTCTCCAATGTTTTTTTTTTACCCCGGCGATACAGTTATCACGAATGATCGTGTCAACAAATAATAATTCACCTAAACCCATTATGCACCGCTGTTTGCGGGTACAGTATTTATTGCAGATATTTGCCCAAGTTACACTTGAAGCTGCTATTCAGAAATACATGTACAAGTATACTGGTGAAAAGCAAAGTTTGTGCGGTAAAGTTTCATCCTTTGCTCCGGCCTCTCGCGATGCTGCAAAGACCCTGCCCACTGTTCAAGTGCAGGCTCAAGACATTCCCCCTCCCCTCCTCTGCAGACGTCTTTGTGCATCTCTCTCTCTCTCTTTGAATTGCTTTCATTTTGTATCTCGAACCACACGGTCCCTTCCCTGGCTTGTGGGCCTCCTCCACCGCTCAGTCCCTTCCCATACAAAAGCGACAAAAATAATCTACATTCAAATCATCTTGGTGTGCGCGCTGACCAAATATGTTCAGTGTCTTGCGATGCGATCACATTCACAATATTAATTGTGAAACGCACATTTTATTACCGTGTTCGGTTTCGTAGCTACCGAGTGTGCAGGCAGTGCAACTGCAATGGAGCCGATGGGGTCCAAGCGTCAGGCTTCGAAGACGGGGGGGGGGGGGTAAATTGAACAGGAGGGGGGGCCCCGCATTCAATTCCTTGCACTAGGGCCCACGTCAACCATGCTACACCACCGATTGTTACTGTCATTTATATCGAGGAAACGTTCAACACAACCCTTGTACTACCTTGTACAATTTCACACCGAAAATTGTAACAATAACTAGTTAGTAATGTGCTGTAATCTCTACCATGATGGTTTGTTACGATAATATATTTTTCCTTATGTCCGTACTGCGTTGTGATAATTATGCTTTAATCATGAAAAAAAGATCAAGTGTGGGGTTCGCACGCTCCTCCTTCCCGGGGGGCGCATTTCGTTGCTGGGCATGGCGCCGCCCATCGCTACCGCCCCGCGGTCCGTCTGATCTCACTCCCGATGACCGCCAGCCACCTCGACGCAAAGGCAGATTACAGAATGTCGTAATCCGTGCACTCGCGCGGCGATAGGATTAAAGAAAAACACAACAATAACACTTTTGAACGGAATAATAATAATAGCAACCATGTTACAAATCCCAAAAGGCATAGGGAGATGATCTTCGTCCAGTCGTGGACACTGACATCGCCGCGTCAGATGTTTGGGAGGCTGCTCTGCCATTCACGGCTGAAAGCCGTGACGGTAAGGGATGTATGTGACTGTGTGAGGATGCTGGATTTGCTCGGTTGGTCCATGAGCAACCCAGACCAGATATTTCACTCGTCGTTGGTACCACCACATGTGGCGTAACTTTAGTGGTTCCAATGATTTGATGTGGCCAATCATAGCGATTTATGTGATAACCCGTTGGAAATTGGTGGGTCACCCGGTAATTCACTCTCATTGTCCACCTAAGTAAATCGGTAGGACTGAAGTGTTGCTACCTTAGGTGGTACCGTTTTTTTTATCTCTGGCCCACGGACTAAGTAGTGCAGTAGATATTCCATCTTTATCGAAGATCTTTCTCTGATCCATGGTTTTGTCGAGGGCTACATCACCAGGAGGCCCTCAGCCAGCAGTGGAATGACAAAGGGGCTGTATGTGTACATCACAGTTAAAGGAAAATTAAACCAAATGAGACAAACATATCTCATCTTGTAGCTATGTACTCAGTAGGCATGTAATAATACATCAATTAAAATCGATTCCTATACAGGTGTATACTAATCGATAATTTACAATTTATGCAAATAATAAGCATACCGATTATATACGCAAATTCTAATGGCACAACCAAGACAGACAATACGAATGAGACAGAACATAGGAGAGAGGACAAGGATGATGACAATGATTTGTTTTTGATACAGCGCCCTCATATACGCTGGGGCGTCTCGCTAGGGCGCTTGACATCTCACGTCTCATCTCAACACATGTGAAAGGGCACCCCCAGTGGCAGCTGTCCCTGTGCGGCACAAAGTGACTCAGCACCTGGCTTGCAAACGGACACTAGTCAGCTGGTAGTGAGGTGGCTGGGGGTGGGGGAGCAGTGGGGGGGATGGCGATGATAAGCTCTGTGTAATCCCAATTGAGTAATTACCAATTATTGAATAAAATCACAACCGTAGATAATGACTGATGATGGAATCGCCGGGCGAAGTGTATCACCAAACCCCTGGCATGCACTGCGAGCGTCCCCTTGCTGTCCAATGCGAGTTTGAAGCTTCGCTAATTTTCATCATTGACTTCTACAGCCATGATCTATCCACTGCTGAGTGAAGGTCTCCCCAAGCCGTCATCATCCCCCACTCCGACCTTGCGATGAAACCGCTCATCTTGCTCCTGCACGCAGGGCGTGTTTTCCTCCTTTGGCTGCCACTCTGTCGTTAGCCACGACCACGGGACCCCTCATCCCTACCAGGGCCGTGTCCTGCCACAAGCCTTCTTTCCTCGACGCTAAAATCGACGCCTCTGAGACACACTAAAGTTTTTCACGGGCGCCTAATTGCCCCACTTTACCACCACGTGTCGGCCTTTTTGCGTGAATTTACGGCGAGCTTCTTGCCGGTGCCACCGTGCGCGTGCCACGACGCTGGCGTGTGGACTACGTCACACCGGCGTGCCGTTGCGCACGCGCGCCCCGCCGATCCAGAACGCAGCCCGATCGTCACGTCTCACCGTCACCGAGGCCGCACAGTCGGTCGGTCATTCGCGTCGCTTCGTCCACCGGCACGTCATGACGTGGGTCCGCTTGATGACGCGGGGCGACGTGGTGACGTTGCCCGCTCGATGCGGTGTGGGGGGGGGGGGGGGGGGTGACGTGGCCCGCTCGAGAGAAATGTAATCTCCTGGAGGGAAAGGGAAGCCATCGCCCCGCTGCCCCTCACCCCCACCAACCTCCTCCCCCTTTGAGTGTTGCTCAAAGAATATTACGCTGGCCTGTTGATAGACACGCTGCAGTCTGTATTCGGCGTCGGACGAGCCATTCCCCTTTGTCGCGGAGATTTGTAGAATCATCGCGATTCGTCCCATTTTATTTTCTGTCGTTTTTTTCTCCCTCCCCATCTCGTTCGTGCAGTTTGCTAGCTTCCGTTAAGACACATCTGACGCTCGCGAATTGTTTTCACGCAACTTGTAATTCAAGTTGTGAATCATCGTCACGCGTGGTTTCCAAACAGGCGACCGCCCTGGTAAATGCGGCTGGGGTGCAATGGCCATAAATACGCCAACGGTCTGCTTCGCAGTGGACGTTGAAGGTCCTTTGATGTGATCGGAAAAAGAATAGGCCATGAGCATTGGCATTGTGGTGAAAAAGTTGCCAAATTTGATAAATTACTCGCAAGTGACCGATTTGGGGGGGGAAACAACCACATTGCAGCATCACCTCCCTACTCGTATACCTTGTGCTGTACAGCCACAGGGGAAATGAAGATGGATGAGATGGGATGCATTGCGCTTGAAGTTGCAGAAGGATCTAAGCAAGCGCACTACACATGCACATCACTATTGTTTCATGCCCTTTCGACTGCTGATGAGACTTTGAATGTCAAAACCGGTACAGAGTTTGCTTGTGTTGAAACAATGCTGCTAAAATCATGCACTCCCAGAAGGCCGGTGTGGCTGATGGGATGTGTAGTAAAAAAAAAAAAAGAACCTTTAAAAAAAAATTTTTACGTTCAGCTTATCGTCCGCTTGTTCACCAGCGGACGACGTAAACGAAGCGGCGTCCTCCAGACGGCAAAACCGCGACAGAGCGGAGGAGCGCAACGGCCCTCTGGCGCCAGCCGCTCCCGTCACTTGGCGGGCGGCTGCTGCTGCTGCTGCTGCTGCTGCCGTCGCCGGTCGCTGAGGTTCACCGAGCGCGAGCGCGTGTTGCGGCACGGGAAGGAGCTTCGCTTGCTCCTCTCTGTCGCCGCCGTCGCTGTCTTCTGCCCGGCCTTCCTGCCCCTCCGCACGTGTACCAGCTTGTGGTTGTCCAGGAAGGACTTCTTGGTGTACGTCTTCCCGCACTCGTCGCACTGGTACGGCAGAGCCGAGCTCGCTGGATGCGCCGCTGGCGTCTTTGGCGCCGCCGACGCCGCCGGCGCCGCCGACGCCTTTGGTGCCGTCAGCGCCGTCGTCTGTGTCGTCGGCGTCGTCGGCGTCGTCGGCGCCGCAGCCTGGCCCTTCGCTTTGACTGGCGTGGCCACCGACGCTGGCGTGCCGGCGTTTTCCAACGGCGATGCTGCGGAAGATTCGCCGCCGCCGCCGCCGCCACTGGCGGCGCCGTCCGCGGTGCGGGTGACGGCCCCCGGCTCCGCTTTCACGCGGAGACCGGCGCTGTGCGGCAGCCGCCCGCGCCGGATTTTGCGGTTGAGAAAGGCATCGACCGGCTTCTTGATGGAGCGGCTCTCCAGGCTGCCGGCGACGCGGCGCAGGTAGCAGCTCGTGTGCTTGTGCACCACCGTGAGGTGCCGCAGGATATCGGACTTGCGCCGCGACTCGTAGGAGCACAGCGGGCAGCGGAAGAACTTGACGTAGAGGCGGTCGCCGTCCGTGTGCATCTCGATGTGCTTGCGCAGGTTCTGCCGCGTCGAGAAGCGCCGCTTGCACAGCCGGCAGTACAGCTGCCGCAGGTCAAACAGCTTCCCCTTGGCCTTGGTCTCCGGCCGCGGCGCCGTCTGTCGGGGCGACTGCTGCCGCTCGGCGCCGCCCCCCTTGGCGGGCGTCTCCGGCTCCGCCGGCTGCCAGGTGCCGTTCTGCTCGGGCTTGACGTCGCCGGCGTGCGTCGTGGACATGTGCTTCCTGTACTCGACCCGGCTGGGGAATGCATGCCCGCAAATCGTGCACAGGTTATCTTTGTGCGTCAGTTTGTCGGGGGGCGGCTGCGCCTTCGGGTCTCTGTCCTTGGCGCCGGCTTTCGTGGGAGTCTCTTTCTGCTCCGGCGGCTTCCCCTTGGACTCCTGGACGTCCGCGACTGAGGAATCTTCGGGCTGATCCCCGCCGACGCCTCCGACGCCTCCGACGCTGCCGCTTCCGATGCCGCCGCCGCCGCCGCTGCCGCCGCCACCGTCGCCGCCTTCCGTCGGGGCGTCCGAAGGCGGCGCGGCCTCCTCGTCGCCCTCCGTCATGAAGTTGTTCTGCTTGTGGAAGAGCTGCAGGTGGCGCTTGATCGCAATCAGCGAGCCGTGCTTGCGGTTGCACATCGGGCAGATCCACACGAGGATCTCGGCGCCGGCGCCTCCGTGCCGCTTGGCGGGCGCCGGCACCTTGACGGGCGTCAGCGACCAGGGCGGCGAGAGCGAGGAGCGCGCCGACGGCTGTGCCCGGCCAGGCGACCTCGACTCCTTCCACGCGACCTCCCACTTGGCGTCGTGGTGCGTGTCGTGGAAGTGCCGCCGCACGTTGGCCTTGTTGGCGAAGCTCTTGTGGCACACGGGACAGGCCTTGCGGTCGTGCGGTGCGGTCGCCTGCCCCTGCGCCAGCGCCGCCGCCGCCGCCGCGTCCAGGCAGAAGTAGCGGTTCACCTCCTCGGCGAGCTTCTTGTGCACCACGCGGATGTGGCGCCGCACGCTGCGCCGCAGCCGGAAGCTCTTGGCGCACACGGCGCACGAGTAGCCGAGCGAGATCGGCGAGAGGACGCTCGCGGTCTGGTCCGCGGCCGGGCCGACCGTCGCCTCCGCCTTCGGCTCGGGCCCAGCCTCCTTGGCCTCCGTCGGGACGACGGGGGCGGTGCCCGACGGGCCCTGGCGGCCGGGCTCGGCCGCGACGCGGGCCTCCCACTCGGGGTCGTCCGAGGTGATGACGTGCTGGTAGACGGCGTTGCGGTTAGTGGCGATGGGGTCCAGCTGGATGACGAAGTCGACGCGCTTCTCCTGTGGCCGTGCCGGTTCGGGGATGGTGTCCCGGCGGTGGTTGCGGTGGTGGTTGTTGTTGTTGTTGTTGTCCTCTTCAAAAAAGGTGTCGTCTTCTAACAGGGGATTGAACGCAGGAAAAAAGAGTGTGGAGCAAATTGCGAATGTGCCGTTTTTCATTTGCAAAAAATGTCAAGGAATACTTGAGACAGAATATAATATTAAAAATATCATGGATAAATAAAGACAGCCATTAAAATGTTAAATAAAATCACACTTTCACCCATCGGACTTATCGCCTTCAGTCAACATTTGCCAGCAGCGTTTGGTTAAAGCAGCAGACTCCACTTACAGTTTCAGATTTTCCCTGAATCTCATCGCCTTGGTTGGTGTATACAGCCCCTCGCCCAAAACAGCGCATCACCGATGGTTTTTTATTTGTCCAAACATTGCTGTTATCGCCCTGAAATGGGAGTCATTTTAGCCTACTTCACCACAAAAACCTGGGGGAACGTTTTGCTCGACGGGCTACTCATTGGCACGCGTCGTTTAATCAAACGATGCTGGCAAAGCGTGGAGGGTGGGGGAGGTTGTCTGGAATCTGTCGTTGGGGGAACCCGTGGCGGCGTTTCGTGAGCACCAAGAGCCGAGGGGGGGGGGGGGGGGGGGTGCCTGCACGCGGCGCTACCTGTGCACGTGTAGGGGTGGCAGTAGTTCTGTCGGTGCACGATGAGGTTAGGAAGGCCCCGGAAGAGGCTGCGGCACAGTTGGCACTCGAAGATGATGTCCACCTCGCACAGCAGCAGCTGCTTGAGACGTGGCGTCCCTGCAGGGGGTGGGACAGCATCAAAATAAACCATGATTTATCCACTGTTGGATGACGGTCTCCCTTCCCCCCTCCAAGCAAGTCGCACCATCTCTGAGACCACTGCCTTCGGGGTTAACGTTAATAAGAGTAAACGCTTATCCCGAACAGTGGCAGGAACTTACACAAGCCGCAAGCCAACTCTTAATTCCAATTACTCCTATAATTGAACCCCACAGCTTCAGGGAAGGTTATAATCTCTGGAGGTGGTCCGGGTGGATCAGGGGTCAGAGCTTTAAGCCGGCACCGGTGAGACCCTGGGTTTTTTTTCTTCCAGACTTCAGCTGCCCGTGCTAACGCTTGCCTCTTCAGAGTTGCACACCGATGGTCTCAGCCCAGTCGGCAACGACTGCACGAGGAATCCATGACGTTAAATTTGGTTCTGCACTCAATTTGGGCAACTGGTGCAGTCGTCAGAATACAAGATATCCAGTTGATTGCCATACCACAAACGCCTCCATAGCAGGGCACGTGTGAAAGTGCAGTTGCCCCCGAGTGTGGATAAGCAATCGCATGAAGGGAACTCAGAAGTACTTCTGTGATATCACCTTCCGCGGCAGGCTGTTCTCCAACGCAGGCCGATGCACCGTTCCGTGAGAGTTCCCAACAGCATTTTCTTCGCCTCAATACCGTGATGCCGATTAAAACGATTGTCATATAAATTGAGGGGGGGGGGGTTTGTTTTAAAACAGCCTAAAAACCTCACGCATGTCAGAGCTCTTCTGTAGATAGTAAGGCTCCTTCCTCTCTCTCTTGCCAATTAAGTACACCTTGCTCGCAACTGCCAAGTAAAGCAGCAAGCTATAGATAGCACACATGACAGAACAGCAGATAAGAGCCAACACGGTTTTTTTGGGAAATGAGCAAGATTAGAGGTACTCAGACAAAGAGACAATGAGTTCCAAAGCCAGTAACACACAACTAATGATAGCACAGCAAATAAAGAAGAACACACATTTATTGAATGGTTCAAGGTTATAGGAGCTTGGAAAATGAGACGATGGGAAGGTAGTTCTAAAGCCAGTGTAGCATACACAACTAATGACAGCAGAGAAGGTAAAAAAAACGACACGTTAATTGAATGGTTCAAGGTTATAGGGGCTTAGAATGAGACGACAGGAGGGAGTACCAAAGTCAGGCCATACGAGGAAAATATTGTGGTGAGAAGCGCTTTTGTATTGTTTGTTGTTGTAACTTGCTGACCCGCCCCGACTGGACATCTGTGTAAAAGAGCTTCATTGCTCATCGGATGTCCTACAGTTCAAATAGATATTGTGATTATGATAATACAAAAACATATTCTGATAGCTTTTGAAATCTCACCATATTACCTGGAATACATCCTAATATTTTGAGACCTTGGATACACAAAAATCATATCATCGGATTCCTCCAGTCTAAATAAAGATTCTGATTCAGTAAGATTCTTCCTGCAGCGTGGTTGTGGACCGTAGTGGGGGTGCGAGGGGCACGAATCACCATGGCAAGAATGAGTCCTTGACATTGTCGGAATTATTAAGGAGTGAATTTCATGGAATATAATGGCCATGGCAGACCTCAACCAGATTTCCAGACACACACGTGAGCCTAAATAATAGTGATTTTACACAATTTAATTATTAAATTGGGTTGACGTTTTATATATATATATTTTTAACAATTTTTCCAATGTATTTTCAATAGTTATTTTATATTACATCCAGCCTGCCCTTACAGTGGCATTCAACACAGAAGCGATGAGCAAAAAAACCACAATGATATTGAAACGATGTTTATAAGGATTACTTAATTTAACTTTGTATTACTAAAGTAATTAATTAACATTAAATTTCACTGCTGAAGGGTTTGTCTGTTAATCAATATCTACTCAGTGTAACTATTCATACACCAATTAAAAACACATAATCGGGGAAAGATTTGAAAAATTATTATATTTTTTTATTCGGCCCCACAATGCATTGTGCAGTTTCCCACTCTTATCCACTCTGTCTCTCTGGCCTCTCTCTTTATTTAGGATGAAGGGCTATTTCCCCCGAAACGTCACCGAGTATAAATTCTTCCTCTTAAGGCCACAGTGTTATTGACAAACGCGTGGAGTTTTGTTTATTCTAATTTATAAAGTAGACGGGAGGGCAGCACGAGCGGCAAACATATCAATGCGCTGAGGCTGCAACCACTGAGATCACCTGGCTTAAAATCTGAGCAACCACCCCGTGATTAAACCTGGTTCTCGTGTGTAGCCAGGTCTATGGTCCTCAGCCTGGTCACCAACGACCGCACACACAAAACATTCGTATTGAATTTGATGTTTCTGTTTTTTCTAAACTTCATTTGGCAAATGTCAGCTCCGAGAACTTAACCAGGGGTTGTTCGGCCGTACTTAACCACATCGGTCGGTCGCGGATTGGTGAATCTGGGGAGCGCGCGCAGCTGTGGGAGCACCAAATAACTTTTAAAGAAAGCAAAATCTCTTTCTTTTTCACAACGCAAAAAGAGACCACGCAAAGCCATGTCTGCAGAACTATCACTGCCCGCTGTGATATTCTGCTCCAACACAGGGTGATGCACAGTTCCCTGTGAGACTTTAGAATGGAAACGTCTTATCTGCTGCCATGCCAGGAGCCACAATTGAAAAAGCCACGGAATTCAACGCAAAGCAGTCAGGATGAGTGATGCTGCAGACCTCAATGAGTCACTCCAGTCACTCGTTCACCGGCGGTCATTCGCCTCCCTATCACTCGTCTATCGCTACTACCATTGTCACTGCTCCTGTGAACGTCACTCATTGATTCCTCCACCCAGCTTGGCTACCCAGTCTATCAGAAAAGCTGCTTTGTCTTATCCACACTTTATCCAGCCATCACTCTGCAGATCACAACACACTCACTCACCGCACTGTGTTCATCAGCACTCCCGCAGATCACAACACACTCACTCACTCACCGCACTGTGTTCATCAGCACTCCCGCAGATCACAACACACTCACCACACTGTGTTCATCAGCACTCCCACAGATCACAACACACTCACCACACTGTGTTCATCAGCACTCCCGCAGATCACAACACACTCACTCACTCACCACACTGTGTTCATCAGCACTCCCACAGATCACAACACACTCACTCACCGCACTGTGTTCATCAGCACTCCCACAGATCACAACACACTCACTCACCACACTGTGTTCATCAGCACTCCCACAGATCACAACACACTCACCACACTGTGTTCATCAGCACTCCCACAGATCACAACACACTCACTCACTCACTGTGTTCATCAGCACACCGCAGATCCCAACACACTCACTCACTCACCACCCTGTGTTCATCAGCACTCCCACAGATCACAACACACTCACTCACCACACTGTGTTCATCAGCACACCGCAGGTCACAACACACTCACTCACCACACTGTGTTCATCAGCACTCCCACAGATCACAACACACTCACTCACTCACCACACAGTGTTCATCAGCACACCGCAGATCACAACACACTCACTCACCACACTGTGTTCATCAGCACTCCCACAGATCACAACACACTCACTCACCACACTGTGTTCATCAGCACACCGCAGATCACAACACACTCACCACACTGTGTTCATCAGCACTCCCACAGATCACAACACACTCACCACACTGTGTTCATCAGCACACCACAGATCACAACACACTCACTCACTCACCACACTGTGTTCATCAGCACACCACAGATCACAACACACTCACCACACTGTGTTCATCAGCACACCACAGATCACAACACACTCACCACACTGTGTTCATCAGCACACCACAGATCACAACACACTCACTCACTCACCACACTGTGTTCATCAGCACTCCGCAGGTCACAACACACTCACCACACTGTGTTCATCAGCACACCACAGATCACAACACACTCACCACACTGTGTTCATCAGCACACCACAGATCACAACACACTCACTCACTCACCACACTGTGTTCATCAGCACTCCGCAGGTCACAACACACTCACCACACTGTGTTCATCAGCACACCACAGATCACAACTCACTCACCACACTGTGTTCATCAGCACTCCCACAGATCACAACACACTCACTCACTCACCACCCTGTGTTCATCAGCACTCCCACAGATCACAACACACTCACCACACTGTGTTCATCAGCACTCCCACAGATCACAACACACTCACTCACTCACCACACTGTGTTCATCAGCACTCCTACAGATCACAACACACTCACTCACTCACCACACTGTGTTCATCAGCACTCCCACAGATCACAACACACTCACTCACCACACTGTGTTCAGCCAGCACACTTTGCGTGCGCTGTTTTGTGTGCGCGTGTGCCCCTGTGCGTTGTGTACGAGCGCTGCTGTGTGTGCGCGCGAGCGCCGCTGTGCGTGTGAGCGCAGGCTGCTGTGCGCGCGCTGCTGTACGTGCGTGCACACGCGAGCGTGCGTGCGTGCGTGCGTGCGTGCGCGGGCTGCTGTGTACCGACGCGGAGGCACTCGAGGATCTGGCGGACGCCGTGCCTCGACGTGTGAAGCTGCTGCTGCACGAGAGGAGGGTCCCCCAGCTCCGCCGCTGGAATGGAGGTAACAAACACGCCCTTGCACAACTCGCATCTGAATTTGAATCTAAATTAACAATAAATAAAAAAAATGTTAACTTTGTCTAGCAAGGCAGTTTTGGCTATTTAACTCGTGGGGATTTCTGGGGGGGGGGGGGGGGGAAATCTTAACTCAGATGTGTTTCTGGGAGAGTTTAAGGTCATTTTGTTTAACCGGCTGAGAAGTCAAGAGATCCAACGTCTCACGTGCAAGAGTGGCCTGGGGCATTCGTCTGCGAGTAGGAGGTGTGTGTAATCCCAAACTAGTAATTTTCGAATGTTGCAAAATTGGCCAGCATACAATGGGCCTACTCTTGAGAATGACGTCATGGGATCTTTAACATTCACTGTGATGCAGACTGGGCGTTTAGTGTTTTTATTATTATTATCACAAGTGCAGTAATAATCAGGGAGCCGCCGGATTTGAACCGTGAACCTCTGCAACGAGCGGCGAACGCACTACCGCTGGGCCACGCAGAGATGACTCGAGCAACTCGGCAAATCACGGAAACACTACTTATTTTTTGCCAGCTTAAGTGTTATTTTGTCTTCAACTCAATCGTAGGAAAGATCAGTCCGATTCAGTCAGTGCAGCTGGACTCAATGTGGCAGTCCCATTGAAACTCGATATTAGGCCTGATAATGTGGCCATAATAGTCGACTTTATTCTTGAAATGTACGAACAGACAAAAGCGTGCAAACTCAGCTTTACAAAACAATAAAAATAAGACACCCACAGCACCTGTAAATTTCTGCACAGCGTCGCGTAGAACGTAATTTGATTTTGTATTTTTCTAAGAGAAACCCCCCCCCCCCCCCCACAAACGTCCAGGATAACGTATTTAGTTCGTTATCCTTCCTCCACACCTCCGATTAGCACGGTCGGCTACGTACGGTACGTACATCCACACACGCGCGCATCACAAACGGACGTCGAAATTGGCACCGGTTACCTTCCGCGCAGCTTCGCGTGGCCCGCAGGTCAGCCTGGCAGGCCTGGTCCCGCACACCGGGGCAACCCCCGGCCGCTGCCCCGGGCTCGTCCGCTCCCTGCGCCCCCTCCACCTGCAGACGGCATCGGTAGACGCTGAGCGTTGTGCCGATCTAACGGCGATCAGGCGTCGCGTTGCCCGCCCTCGCGTGCGAGGTGCACGCAGTTTAATGTTGGGATTCGTAATTGTTGTTTTTGGCGTTGGGTTCGGCCGCCTGACGGTCCGGGCCCCAAACTTGTGTCGCGCCACCCTCCGCCACCCCAACGCAGCCACGCAGAAATTGTCGCGCACGGTGTGTGTGTGTGTGCGTGTGTGTGCGTGTGTGTGCGTGTGCGAGCGTTTAAAAGCACCGATCGTCGTCGTTTCTGTTCGCCGGCAAGTTAAAGAGCAATTCTCACAAACAAATTTCGCGATTAGTTGTGAGAATTGTTCCTCAGGCACCCGGTGAGCTGAAACAATGAAAATTGGTGCGCTGTTAAACTCGTGCACATGCGGCAATTTAATTGTCTGGCCGTGTTGGGTGGTGGAGGGTTCTTAACAACACAAATTTGGCCGGATCGTTACGCCGCCCGACCAAAAAAAAACCTGTTACGAATCGTCACATTCGCCGTGAACAATACGACGTGTTAAGTCGGATACGAGTTTGTTGGGCATGACTGACGACTGGCGCTTACCTCCATCTCCAGCTCGGCCGGGCAGCTGCTTCTCGTTGAGTCAGGAGGCAGAGCCGTCGCGTCCATCAGCGAGCCGCAGTCGGACGACTGCATCGCGCCCCAGCGTCACGCTCTGCGACATCGCGGACGACGCACCGAGAAGGCAAAACGAGAAACGGTATTAGGTTTTTGTGGCGCTGCTTCTTCCCCTCCTTGCGTGTGGATACGAGTTGAGTTGCGACTACAAAGCAGTGTCTTCCAAGTCGTAAGTCCAGCTGCTTTTGCCTTTAGAGCGCAGCGAGCGCCTACACCATGCGTGCCCGCGGGAAGCACCGATACGAGATCACACAGAGACCCATTGACTCGCAGAGACGCGCAGCCTCGCACAGAGCTACTTTGTTTAGAAGGTGAAATGGTGGTTCACTGGAGCGAATGGATGGAACACACCTGTCGAAAGCCAATATAGGTGTGTTTTGTGTGACAATCATTTCTGGCAACACCTACATGCACGGTCCCTTTTGTATCAATTCACTGCTAGATGGAATCCCCCACTCCTCGTTGAAGGCCTGTGTGAGTCAGGGGGGTTATTTGACCATACTTCACCAAGCTGGTCAGTCCTGATTGGTGAAAGTGTGGTGAATATGTAAAGTCAAAGCACAATGTATGTTCCTTCACAAAGTAATCATCACTTTAAAGGGCCTTTATGGACTTACCCCTGGTCTACTTCTCCCCTCTCATCTCACTCTACTCCCCTCCACGCACTCTCCTACCTCTCCCCTCTCATCTCACTCGACTTCCCTCCATGCACACGCCTGCCTTTCCTTTCCCCTCTCCTCTCACTCTACTCTCCACTCCTCTCCTCAACGCACTCTCACCTCCAGCAACCACGGATTTCTGTCGAAGCCCCAAGTCAACCTTTACTCAATGGGAGGTCACTCGTTCTCCGACACCGCAATGATGTTCTAATACTCCCTTCCCTCAATCGTCTGTGCTGTCATCTCCCTGCCCCTAAACAAGTCCAGGATCAAGGCTTTTTCTTCCTCTGCCTGAAACCGACTGGCTGCCTATCTCTCTAAAAGAAAGCCCACCTTTTTTTCTGCCGATTCAAGATGCGTTTACATTTCGACGGCACAGAAATACAAATTGCAACTGCGATTGTGCTCTTTGCAACTGTATGTTTTAGTGACCGGAAATGCTCATTTAAAAAAAAAAGACGCTCGTGCTGTATCAATCGAAATTGGATCGACGAAACGAAATTACATTTTCCAGTGGCACTGCAGCAACGTGGCTCTATTGCCCCCTGCCAAAAGAAGCGTGGCACTGCAGTAGTTCAGCGACTACTGTGAGACGCGATAGCCTCTCCCGATACCAGCGATGACGCCACGAACGGCGGCAGTTCCACGGTGACTCGTTCGGTACACGGGGGGGGGGAGGGGGCAGCAACACTTGCGGTCACAGCCAATCCACCTGCTGGCACGGGCCTGCTTCTTCCTGCTTCTCCACCGAACGATTCTCATCTCTCTCGACGGGCAAAACCAACCGCGGGGGTCCCTTAACCACTCCGTTCTTAACCACTGTGACCGTTCCGCGTGCATGTACGTTTAACTTCCTTCGCATCGTACGCAGCCGACCGTGCGACGGGTGGACGTTTTAAGCGTCACGCGCTTCCGCTTCGAGCCGTGGGCAAGGTGGGCCCAAACGTCGGGGCGACGCCGCCGCCTCCGAGGGGGGAGGCGACGCCACCGTTTGAAACCAGTCACGATGGCCCCCGCGGACTCGCCGTTGCGATAAACCCCGGTCGTAAATCGTGAGGTTCAAGGCCCGTGTCCGGTCCCAGCCTGGCTGGGGGGGGGGGGCGGGGGAAGCCGCGTTGTTTATGGAACACGACGCAGAAACAAACGGAACCACCCGGGGCTCTGAGCAGGGGGAGCACCCCCCCGCGTTGCCGATTTGTATGCGGCGCGAGCGTGGAGCTGCGCCGGGTGCTCCAGCTGTTTTGTCTCTCGTACGGGAGGGGACACTTCTTTGGCAGTGCCCTAACCTCGTGACCGTCGGACCCTCAACTTAACCCTCACCCCGAATGCCTGTAACACTTAACCCTGACCTCTCTAAATTTCTAAACCCCTATTCTAACCTCTGGCATTGTCCTAAACTTCCTAGCCCGCCCCATTTAACGTTCAGCCTCCTAATCCCCCCGCGCGCGCTAACCCCACGGCTCGAAATCCCAACGCTGCTCAAGAGCCGACCCTTAACCCTGATCCCACCTCCGACTTGAACCACTTAAGCCCCCAGTGCTGCCGATAACACCTCCACACAGCAACGCCTCTGGCCCGTCTCGATCTTTCGCCGGCGGCGTTCCAGATAATAATTTACCTCACGGCTACTCCTGACCCAGTCCACTGGCTCACTCGCTCACTCACTGACCAACCTCGACGCAAACAACGTGGGGAATGCTTGTCGATCAACACTGCCCACCGTGCGTACGAAAGGTGAAAACGGGAACAAAAAGTTGAGCAAGTGCGGAACTAACAAAGCGGATATAAACATTCGCCGACATGTAGCCAGTGAGTTAGACAATTTCTCTGCGAGCCACGGCACATCCCGGCGCGTGACTTGGCCGGTCGTTACAGTAATTGGAGGGTCGCGCTGCCAAAGAGGGGCCGAAAATAGCCAGTGAAATTTGCCACGAGCCGCTACTCGAATCTGCCGTTGCTAAATCGGGGGGCCAACTCCGGCGTTTGGGCAGCCCAACTGCAGCGTTGTTTGCTGGCTCGTTCTCCAACGCAACATCCCGCGAGCACGAATCGCCAGCCAAGAAGGCAGAGCGCCCAAGAGATCCAAGCTGGCTTCCTGATCAGCACCTGGGCCACTGGTGGCGGCTTGGGCCGCCACTCCCCCTGCAGTGTGTTGTAACCACGGTTTAATTTGCGGTGAGGGAAACGCCTGGGAAGCATGTCAGTGTGTGGCGTGCCCAGAGCAGTGAAGCGAATGCGGACTGGGATGAAAGAGATGGCAAGAGAGAGGCGAGTGACCGCCGGTGTGAGATGCTTGCATTTACAAAGCTGAAACTCGTAAGGAAGAGGCAACCTAGCAATGTTGTTAAAAGGCCAAATGTTAATCAGTGCGTATGACCCGCTGTGACGTACGGAACTTAAGCTTGGAATTACGCTAAGAGACAGGAAGAGGAACATATGGATTAGAGGACATACGCAAATTTAAGACAAGGAGGACGACCGGTGGTTAAGATTAACAAAGGAGTGACGGCCCAACGAACTGGCCACACGTCCGCTGCGAAGATGGAGCAATTGAACCACCTCGCCTGCCAGAGAGATATATATACAGATTGTTGCATCGCGAGACTCTGAGATGGCAGCGGCTTGGAAAGGGCCGTCATCCAGCAATGGGGAGAACAAGTGCGAGGGGGTATACGGTGGGATGTAACATAGTGGCTTGCTCCGACAAAAATTGTCGAGTCGCGTGACGAAACGAGCCAGACAAACGTCGCCTTCGAGGTGCCGATTTGCAATTCAGCATTCCGACGGCACGGCCTATGCCCCCCCCCACCCCACCATGCCCCCCCCCCCCCGTGCACACGTACAGGCGGGTACGATTGGCGTCCAGCGGGGCTCCCACGCCGCACGTTAATATCGGTAATGATGGCGATGATGGCGGCGTTGGCAACGGCTGCGCGATTTGCCGTAATAGCGACGCTAAGAGAGCGGCTGTCAGAATGTACGGCGTGGATAAAAGAAGAGTTCAAGATTCGACGGCGGCGGCGGCGGCGACGGCGGCGATGTCCCCCCTTAATTGGACTTCAAAGTCGGGCAGAGAGTGTGGGAGTGAGAATTCACGCACCGACGGCTCCCCGTGCGTGTTTAGAAAATTGTCTCCGCCAGATGCGACCAAACGAGGTGAAAGAGAGTGCGGCTTGCTCCGCTCCGGATCAAGCATCACACCCAGGGCATTATTTTCCGAAAGAACGCGGTACTTTTTTACGGTCACTGATGAACTGGGGCAGGCGCGCGACTCGCAGCCGCAGCCATTAGCAAGAGGTATCCTGGATGGCGTGTGCCGAGTGCAGAAATATTTTCCGGATTACCGACCCAAACGGACCCGGCTGCAGTTAAGCCCTGATCACACAAAGGACGCTGCGACAAAAACTGTTTCTAAACAGACATAAATTGAAATGCCTCTCCTTGACAGCCACACACATTCCCTTATTGTGCGTGAGATAGTGCGAGTTAATCCATCGACGCTGCCATGAATATTCGAACATTTATGCTTCCTGCTAGACTCAAACAGCAATTATTAAACATTTCTTTAAAATATTTCACCCTGCTCCTCATTCTGCGGTGGAAGTTTCTTTTGAGCTCTTTGGACATGAGAAAGTCCATCTACCCTCACGTGGGCAGATCAACTCAGATTCTTGACCTCTCCGTGTGTAGCAAAGCATCCCTTGCACAACCCTAACATTACAGGTTAACACAGCACATCTCCCCTTATCTGCGATCCTCCTACCCACTGCTCCAAACTGCTCCAATTATCTACGGGAACTGTAGGGTGCACAAAAACTCCTATTTATCCGTGGTCCTGTTCTTCCCACCATCCAGTTTTTCCATCCCGCATTACGGAACGTCTTCCTGTTATCTGCAAATTTATCGTGGATAATAATTAATCTTATTATTCCAAATATATTTCCAGATTAATGGTGGGAGTAAATTTGCGGATAACATCGACGATGATTGTAATCTGAATTGTAGGTCCATGACCTCATTTTCCATCGCTGTGAGCAATTTAGCCACACCAATCGGGTACTAGAGGGGAATATTTTGACCTGGAAATACTGTATTAGCACTGGGATTAGTCCTCACCTCTGATTTATTTGCACTTTTGATTCCATGGGCCAGACCAGACATCGGTACCGCCTCAGGTGCCAAAACTTTCCCTGTACCGATTTCTTTTCATAGCTAATGAAGAGTGAATTTCCTTGATCATCCCACTCATTTCAAGCGGTTATCAAATTAATCCCTATTATGGGCCACATAAGTAAATTGGAACCTCTAAAGCTGCGCCACTTCAGGTGGTACACCGACCAGTGAAAATATCTGGGCAGGACTAATCGAATATATATAC